GGTATAAATCTCTTGTGGGTGTGTTTTATAATTTGTAAGAGTTGTAGTTGTTGTATCAGTCATTGTTGCTTGATTTTTGGATAATTATTCAGCTTCTTTAATTTGAATTGTAATTTCATTTTTATCATTTTACGATAATCTATAAAGTATTTTCATCAAAAGTGGGTCGATGTGTAATTCTTGCATCCTAACATCTCATAATTATTTGCGTAATAAATTTAGGTGTGTGAAATAGAATTTTTGGCTGCAATCCATTACATATTTAAAAGCCAAATCTTTATCATGTGGCACATCAGAATATGGTTGAAAACCAGTAATTATTTCGTAAACAATAATTAAACAAACATCTGTAGCCTTTGTATATTCTCTTTCAGGTGCCATATAAGGTAATACTCCTGAAATAATTATTGTTTTATTCTTTTAGAATTTTTTTTTTGTTTTCTGTAATTAATAAACTCAATCCAAAATCTGATATGTATAGATGCTTGCTTTCCAAACTGCTTTTTAAAATATTTCCAGGATGAAAATCACAATGAACTATATTTTTCTATGAATTCTTAAAAATTCGAAGCTACATCTATTAAATAGTCTAATTTAATTTCCTACTTGATATTATTAAAATTATATTTAAACTCGCCAATTCTAAACACAGGTCAAACACAAAGAATAGGCGTACTGAAAAGGAATTCTGATTTTAGCTGATCTATAAACTAGGATGAAATAGGACGGTCAATTTTTAGCAGGCCTATGATATAGGAATCACCATTTGGTACAACAATTCATTTGTATTTGACTAGTGAAAAATAAGTATGTATTAACTTTGTTATTTTATCACGGCGTTAATTTACTTTTTAAAAAATACTTTTAATTTCATAGGAAATTGATTATCTAATCTACTGACTTGGATGCTCTGATCAGATGAGCACATGATATAAAAGACCTAGTCCTGATATTGAATTTCCAAGGACGGACCAGTTGGTCCGGGTTCTAAAGACCAGGTCCTCAGGTCCGGAGGACCATCTCATCCCTAATTCTGCATTATTCGAACTATGGTATGATGTAAGAAAATATGTGCTACTTAAAATAATAATAAATTAATTAAGACTATGACACCAATTTGTTCCTTCAACAATTCTCATTTAGAAAAAATGCTTTATAAATTTCTGATCGGAAATAATTCATGATTGTTGAAACATGTAACCTTTTTTTATTTTAATAAGTAAATGTCGAAAATACTACTAAGTTACTCGAAAGCTCAGAATCAAGAATAGCTTTTATAAAAAATTTTGCTCTATTAGTCCCAATTCCAAATTGAGGGAAATCTATGCGTCGAAAACTTTCCTTTTAACATTAAATAATTAGCATTTAAGCATTACTGTTCTCTCAATTTATGTAGAAGCTGGCTGACATATACTAGTAGGTGTATTTAAAATATTGCATAACATTACCCATGAAATTCTTATTACTTTAATCATAGGTCAAAATTTTATTTGCATTTTTTGCTAATTTAAGATATCTCAAAAATTTTGCATAGAGTTGAGCTAAAAATATAAAAAACATTTGCATAGATTAACAAAATCTTGTAGATCTTTTATCAGTAGAAACGTTGAGTCGATTCCGTTTATATTAGTCATATACGTGAATTCTACTCCCTTTATCGACTCCCATGGAAGAGATAAAAATGATACTATTTTGCTTGTAATATTATAATGATACTATTATGAATAATACAATCATAATTACGTAATGTCATTATTAGAAGAAATTCTATAAAATGGAAAAACTAAACAATGTAGCAAGAGATACCGAATCAACTAGTTCGCAAGATAATAAAACTCAATAAATCTCAAGAAAATAATCGTATTTTCGGCATCATTAAAAAAATAGAAATTTTTATTTGTCATTTGCTCCAATACTTTATTTATATGTTTATCTTATTTATTATAATTTTTTGATGAACATTAATCATTAAATAATAAATATTTCTCTAATATTTTTTTTATAGTTTCTTAGTATCTTCAATGCCATCTCAAATAATGAATACTCAAAATGGTGATGATGATAATGATAATCATTATGATGATAATGATATAATAATACATGAACCCAACCAAAATGACATTCCTTATTAATCCGGAACATGATCGAAATTTGCAACATTGGAAATTTTCCAGTAGTATTCCAATCTTTACACTACACTTATATAAAATCAGTTGTTATAAAACTGATCAGCTACATTTCACTTTCATCTTCTTCAGTTTTGGTATTTTTGTTGTTATTATTAATCCTAATAGCCATTATTTTTACTTCTAACTATTAGCAATATACATCGTGTGTACTGGAATTGTGCCAGTTTATCATCACTGTTATATGCTAAAAAATATAATGATTAAATTGATATTATATTGAGTAAATAAAAATAAAGTGATTAATTTAATAAAGTAAATATTCACTCGTTAATTGAAATCACCTTTGATTTGACTGATTATTCCGATATCATTGGATGCTCTAGAACCATTTCCAAAAGTATTTGAATTATAATTAAAAAAAAATAATGAAATAGAAAATCTAACCATGTTATGAAAATATAATTATATAATAATATGGTTAGAATCTGAATTTTAAATTTGTGAAGGAAATAAATTAAAAAAGAAGCAAGCTTTTCTGGTGAATTTCCTAAATATCAATGCTCTTCCTCTAGATCTTAATATTTAAATAAAGTGATTATCGTAATTTAATTTATAGAATTGCTCAAAAATTTAATGAAATAAAATAAATTTATAAAAATTAGTTTATTGATGTTTTCAACACCTAATAACGAAATACCATAATTCATCTATATATTCTATTAATACACAAAATTAAATTAAATTAAACGAGTCAATCTAAATTATAAATCTTGATTATAAAATCATCCCTTTAAAATCCATTGGATCTACTTATTTTGTATTTGATCCGAAATTTAGGACTTGATTCGATCATTTTGAGTCTTGATCCGATTATTTTGGACAGATTTTATCTTGGGTCCGATCCGAAAAGTCGGATCTTATTTTTTTTTTTTTGGAATCCGGATCTGTAAAAGTAAAATCCGATCCGTAACAGTATGATCCGCAGATCAATTAGGATTCGAGTATTTTTTTGCGAAACCCTAATTTTCAAATTGATTTGAATTATTTTTTCTAAACCATATTAAAAATTTTAAATTATTTTTTTAGTTTAAGAAAAAAAAAAACTATCCTTTCCTGAATGTCTTGATAATTGGGCTTTTTATTATCTTATTATTGAAAGATCAAAATGGGTGTGTTTAAGTAAATATTATAAAATTTGCTTCTCAACTTTCAAAAATGGCTTTATAAGTCTCCTCATCCTCTCGTGCGGTTGCTTTTGAAAGTTTAACGGAATATAAAGATTAATAAAAATAATCTTTTTATTAATTCTCAATAAAAAATTAATAAAATAAAAATGGAATATACTTTTCTGATAATTCCCGACTTTACATATCCGTGTTTTTATATTCAACATTATTTGAGTGCATAATAAAATGCTTTTCAAAACGAGTTATAAATCTCTTTCCTAAATTTAATGGGTTTGAGAGATGAATTGTCCTTTTCAAGCCCTGACATAGAGATAGGAATACTTCTATTTGAGTTTTTGGGTAGGTTTATTAAGCCCTTAATTTTTCTATCTCTTTAATACAGTAAATTAATTAGTTGAAATCGGAAAAAAGAAGAAAAATAAGAAATAAAAGGAAGGGAGGGAAATTATACCTAGTATAGTCTATTCTAATTAACTATTTCTTATATTTTTATTATATACCTTACCTTTACACCGGTGTCAGTGGACCTTTGCGGCTACCGGTATGATATAAAGTTTTCGTACTTTTATTAAAGTATAAAGTCTATTATAAAAAGTTTCAATATAAGTCCGCTTGTACTATATTTAATTATCTTTTTAATTAAAAAAGTCAACCACTTGCAATGCTATGAAATCGAATAATAAATGTTTTGTGTTTGTTCAGAATGGCAATTAAAGAGAAACAAAGGAATTGGACTTCTTTGTTCCAAATATGAAAATAACAATAATCAAAAACAGTTTATAATCGTTAGTTCTAGATAGGAAAATTTGTCATGATAATTAAGTTAATAATTAAAAATATAAATAAAATATTTAAGACAATAAAATATACAATGATAATTGCTTTAACAGATCCAAAGTTAATAAAAATCTACCAATTTATAAATTTTTTTTCTCAAGATAACAGAAAGTGAAAAAACCAAATACTTGAGTGATTTTTAAACATTCTTTAAGATGATATAGAACAAAGGATTCTTTAGGATTCTTTAAAAAATTTTTTCATGTAGATTGATATAGTTTCCGATTAATATAATGGCCTGAATAAAAATCCTAAAAATAAAAATAAATTCCGTCGAAATACAAATTCCTTCACTTTATTATGTAATAATAAAGACTATATAATAACTTTTCATAATTTTGATAATATAATAATGAGAAAGATATGAAAAATTTAGATTTATTTATATTTACATTGCAATCTTTTATACTTTTTGTTACATTTTTGATTCATTGCATTTTTATATATATTTTTTATTCATTTAGAGAAGAGAAGAGAGTAATAAATATTTTTACATGGTGCATAAAACAACGATAAATGAGAATTTAATTAGTACAGCAAAACATATATTTTTATTAATATATTATTAAATAAAAATTAATAAAATTTCTGAACTATCTATCTTTTTTCAAAGTAATAAATATAGAATAAATATAGCACACATAAGATCCTTTCCTTTTTTTATAATTAAAAGAGATTAAGATTATGAAATCTAGGTTTTTGGATACAGATATAGGTAACTAAATAAAAAAAAGCCTACTATATTGTATAATTTCACATGAAGTTACTATTCTGTAAAGATATGAATAAATAATAATAAAATATTATTTTATTCTTTACGATTTTAAAAATTATCTAATTTCTATTTTTAATTTCCATTATCAATATTATTGGAATATCCAGGATAATTATTAATATGTCCATTAATGTTAACATCACCAGGATGATTGAAATATCTAGGAGGATTATTGAGATTATTGGAATATTCAGGGTTATATCCGGGATTATATCCAGGATTATAGCCAGGATTATAACCAGGATTATATCCAGGATTGTAACCAGGATTATATTCAGGATTATATCCAGGATTTCGATTATATCCAGGATTATAACCAGGATTATATTCAGAATTATATCCAGGATTATATTCAGGATTATATCCAGGATTTCGATTATATCCAGGATTATAACCAGGATTATATTCAGGATTATATCCAGGATTTCGATTGTGTCCAGGATTATTGTTATCAACATTATTGATATTCACATCAATTCTGGCAACCACGGGATTTTGATTTACTCCACTATTTGCCACATCTTGGTTGTCACTATTGTTATCATTTGTAATAACATTATCATTTGTAATAACATTATCATTTGTTTGCCTGCTTTTTCGTTTTCGAGGTTTTCGTTTTAGAGGGAAACAGGTTCTTATTATCCCTATAATAAATAATCCAGCAACAACACCAAGAGAAATGTAAACTATAAGCTTTATATTTGGATTGTTAGAATGATCTTCCCGAGACAAGTCATCTGTATTAAGAGCAAATATAGTTTCATATCTAGTATTTTCGGTTATTGGGTCATAACCTAATTATGCAAAAATAAATTAATATTAATATTTGATTTTATCTTAGAAACATAAGTAAACATGTTATTTACCAAATGCAATGAACATTTGTTCCTTTTGGTCTTTGTAAATTGTAGCTGAATGGCCAGCTAGTGGTGGATGAGACTCCTTATCACTACTTGGAATAGACCATTCATAAGATGAAGATCCTATTTTTAATACTGCTACAGTAGGATTAGGTCCTTTATACCCAAAACCCCAAAAAGAAAGACCACCATAAATAATAAGACGATTGTCACTCGCTAGAAATTATAATTAAAGAAATTAGAAAAATTTCATCAAAAAATTTGTCATAATTTTATTCTTACTTAATGCAGCAGTGTGATCGTAACGACCACCAATGTTTTCACCTTGTGCTGTCTAAAAAATAAAGAATTAAAAGATTTATATGATTAGTTTCATGACTTTATAAATGTTATGTATTTTTATACTTACAGCTGTAGACCATTCTGATGAATTGGTATCAAAAAACAAAAGCTAAAGAAATAAAAAAATAATGATAAGTAATAATTTATTTATTTTTTTTTTTTTATAAACTGAAATTTAATTACATCATTCATACTACAAGTTTTATTATGCGTAATTCCTCCAACAAAAATAATAAGACCATTTGGCAATAATGTTGTAGTAAATAACGCTCTTGATAAAAATATCCCATTAAATTCTCCGGGAAGATCTCCAGAGTTGTTGAAGCTTGACCAAGACATCGCATTAATATCAAGTTTATCATAAGAATTAACTGATGAATAATTGTGATTAAAAAAATACATATTTCCATTATTATCTGATACGCCTCCGAAATAATAGTAATTTGGAAACCTAAAAGGTACATTGGAAGTTTTTACTACGGACCAATTGGAAGCTATGGTATCAAATCTATAGGCTTGCTTTTGACTCTCATAATCCCCGTCATAATTTACTTTGGAAGAATTACCTCCAATCAACAAACAAATATTTTCATCTTTAGGATCAACCACTGGAGAAGAGTCATAAATATAAGCGGGGATATTGGCAACAGAAGTATATTTTGAAGTCGTAACATTAAACCAAAATGCATCACTCTTTCTCACTAAATAATAGCCACCAAAATAATAAATCCTTTTTCCTATAAGAATACTGCCGTGATATCCTCGTGAACTTGGTTCATAGCAAAAAATGGTTGCTACTAACCAATTTATAATAAAGAACAATATAAGAAAATCATTAGATGATTTTGGATTCATTTTTTAAAAGAAACAAGTATGTGATCGTTGCTTTGCTGAAGGATTAATTTTATAGCCATTATTTATTTTATTAAAGATTAGATCATCGCATTGGTTTAGAATAAATTAATAGTGAATAAATAATAAATATCAATAATGAATTTTGGGTATATAACGCCGCTCAAATTCAGAAACGGTAAGATTAACAATAGGATTAGCAAAATTTATTCTCAATATCCTTTTCTGAATTTGGGGCAGCATGTATGCACCTAAGAGTTTCATATTTTGCATAAATTGATGGATTAATAAAATAATTAATATTATTTCCGCTTCGGAAAAGAATGCATGCAAATATTTTTAGAAAACTAGATATAATTTAAATAAAATTTATAAAATTTATAAATTTAAATTGGCCATTTATCAAAATCATTTTGTAACGTGTTAAGTTTCACTGTCTGCACCAATACCAATGCACATTATATTTTTTATTGACATTCTGATAATACTTATAGTACGTAAGGTAAAGTTTTATTTTATTTTTTTTTGGTAAACTTAAATATCAATGAATTTTTAGTTGCGCAAATTACTATTAAATCTTACTTACATGAATATTATGATATTTTTTATCAGATTATGACAAAGCCACATAAATAAGGATTATCATACATTGCTATTATAGTGTTTCTGTGGAAAATTGGTAACCACGTGAATTATCACGGGGATGATAATTTGTGATACTAGGATTATTGTAAGATGATAATTTGTGAAGCCATCCAAAAGATAACTCACAAAAATAAAGGATGACGTACAAAAATGAAGGATGACACACAAAAATTGAAGGATGAAGTACAAAGGATGATGGGTAAATGAATGAAAGGGAAAAAAGTATAGAAGAAGTGCTTGTAAGTGACAAGAAATGGTAGTCTTAGTCTTTTGACAGACTTTAATTAGTTCTTATACAATTCTGAATAGTTTCAAATATTAATATTATTTGATAGAAAAGTAAACTTCCTTCAGGAACAGTAAAATAGACTTGCTTTATCATAATATTTCTTTTGTTGAATGTTACTTTACTTTTAAATTGTACCCTTTATAATTTAATAGACTTATCTTTTGTGTCATGATATTTTGAAATATAGTTAAATATTAATTGATACTGTGTTAATACTTTACTCCACCTTGCCCACTGTGCCTTCAGATTAAAAATAAAGAATTAAAGAATTATATTATATTTTATTATCTGTTTTGAGATAGGCAAGTTTAGATTGATGGATTGCTTGACCTACTGGCAGATAGAGCGCATTATTGATTAAGTTTATGTGAGGCAAACTTTGAGACTGATTTATGAAATTGGCTGTAATACTCTGCACAGTTGTGACACTAGCATATCATACTCTCGCTTCGTTAGTTTGTTGGTATTATGTTATTATTGTTTCCAAAACCAAGATCAATGTGGCGTACTGGTTTATATTGTATTGTTCTGGTTAAACTTCGATTACTATTACCATCATCATAAATAAAATGTTCAATTAATATTCATTTCTCATTAACTGAATCTGTTCTTCTATTGATTATTCATTTTCTTGTTTATGATTAATTTATATATATATTTTTAAATATTTTTTCATCACTTGCCTTTAACATAGAGAAACAATTTTTACTAAATTTATTAACAAATTTCGAAGGTAAATTGTTTCACAATTAATAATATCAATTGCAAAAAATTTTTATATTAACTTCAAAGTCTTGATTATTTTCTTCATAATTAATAATAAATTATAAAGAATGTTAATAAAAAAATTCTGAAGATATATTTATTTATTCCCAGAAGATATGGCTAATATATAATAATATGCTATAAGATTTCATTTGTTTGAAATTATTAAATATGAAGAGTAATAAAATATTTCAGTTTTTTTAGTCTTAAAATTTTTTCAATAATGAATTTTGAATAAACATTTTACTCCCAAAATTAAAAAACTGTTGTAGCATACATATAAAAACTTAAAAACATATGTCTTCCCAAATTTATCTGAAATATGGGTAATGCACAAAATTTTGTCAACACAAAGCTTTCAGCTACTCAAGTCTACCTTCAAACATCAGCTGGGAGAGGTTTTGTGTTGTGTGAAGAAAGTTGCTTATGACAAAAATCGGTTCTGCATTATATCAATGGGGTCGTAACACTATACGAGTCCCACTTCTGATGAGTTATATAAAGAGTTGGAAATCTGCCGAGTTGATTATGCGAAAAATAATTATTACAATAATACAATTCAAATTAGAAAAGCTGAACTCCTACAAATTATAAAACACATCCACAAGCAATTTATACTAGTAGATTTCTCAATTTTCAAATCTTCCAAACCCTAAGATTGAAGAAAATTTTGAAAAAGAACATGAAGAATTAAAAGAATCTTTTTCTCATATAATTACTAGTAATATTAAGTATCAATTATATGTTACATTTTATTCATAATTAATTATTTCAAGCATACTTTAAATAATTATTTCATTTATTATTATAGCTAATTACAAAGTAATCTCCTATATTTTTTAATAAATAAAGTTTTTTTTGTTAATTTCTCTCAAATCCCTCAATTGGGTCTACTCCTTACTTTTTTCTTTTGATCATTTATATAAGATATCTTTGTTCAAAAAAGAAAACTTCTCTTTATATATTTTTTTTCATCTATTTCTTTCTTATATGGCTTACATGCAAAAATGTTAACAAACGTTCATACAACGGAACCTAGCATCGAAAAATAAAACTATGTAACAAGAGAAAATGGATCAACTAATTCTCAAGATAATAGTATTCAAGATAATAAATCTCAATACAATAAGTGGATTTTCGTCGCCATTAACAACGCAACGAAAACTGAAATTTTGATACAAAGTTTCATTTAATATTTGTATACATTATTTTATTTTATGTATATTATAATTTTAATTTTTGATGAATAAAAAAATATTTCTCCAATATATTTTTTTTATATTTTCTTAGCATTCCAAAGAGAAACCATCATCTTCAATACCATCTCAAATTCAAACAATGGTGAAGACAATAATAACAAAAAAAGATGATGATTATTATGGTGATGATGATTATATGATACGATATGATAATGATATTAATAATGATGACGAAGAGCATCAACCCAACCAAAGTAATATTCCTTATCCATCGATCGGATCACATGCCCGAAATTTAGAAACTTTAGAAATTTTTTAGTTAAACAGGTATAAATTAAAATTATTCTCCTATTAACATTATTCCAATCTATATACTTTGTTATAAAACCAGTTGTTGATAGAACTGATCCAGCCACATTTCACTTTCATCTTCTTCGTTTTGGTACTTTGTTGTCTTTATTATTTTTAAAACAATTATTATTAACATCATCAAAAACTAAAAGATATAATGAGTAAATAAAAATAAAGTGGATTAAATTAATAAATTAAACATCACATAGTTAAATAATTTAATTGAAACCATCTTCCATTTTATTGATTACTCCAATATCGTTAGTTGTTCTAGAACAATTTTTCTAAATATTTAAATTAATAATTAAAAAAAAAAAATAATAGAAAGAAAGCTAACCATGCCATGTCATGAATATAATTAGAAATTGGATTTTACATTTTTTTTTTTATCGTAGGATTTTTCCTAATTATCAATGCTTTCAGCATCAACTTCCTCTGGATCTTAATATTTAAATAAAATGACCATAATAATTTAATTTAAGAATTGCTTAAAAATTTAATAAAATAAAATAACCTTATAAAATCAAACGAGTTTATAATGCTTTCAACATCTAATTAACAACTCAATCAAAATTATAAATCTTGATTTTAAAAATTTTGGTTCTTCGCAAATTGTATATCTTAAATATCTTACTCCCCTTGCTTCTGGAATCTACCTATAGATAAATGTTAACAAATGAATGGTCACTATTAGAATCATGACATTGATCGAAAGTTTTGTTTAAAGATTTATTTATTAAAATAGAAAATATTTAGGAACAATTTTCTTAATGTTTGTATCACCTCTGTTTTTTTTTCTAAATTAGAATTAATAAATTTTTTTTTACCATTTTTTAGTTTAAGAAAGAAATTACTTTCCTGAATTCTTGATAATTAAGCTTTATATTATCCTATAAAACGAAAGATCAATTTAAATATATTATAAGATATTATAAAGTTTAGTTAAAATAATTTTTTTTATATTTCTCGGCAAAATTAATAAAATGATGATTGCTGACTTTACATATCCGTATTTGACATTCAATATTATTTGAGTACATAATAAAATGCTTCTCGAAACGAGTTATAAATACTCTTTTCTTAATTTAATGAGTTGAGAAGATGAATTAACTTTTTTATAGCCCTGACTTAGAGGTAGGAATACTTCTATTTGATATTTTATGTATTATCCTTAGTGATAAATATTCAATTTTTTAAAAGAAAATATTTTTGATATATTATTCTTGATTCTTTTATCGGAACTTGAGTTTCTGTGTAGGTTTATTAACCTCTTAATTTTTTCTAGCTCTTTGATACAGTAAATTAATGAGTTGAAATCAGCAACTAGGACAGAAATAAGAAAGAAATAAAGGAAGGAAAGTAAATTATAAATAGTATAGTCTATTCTAATTAACTATTTCTTATAATATTTTATGATTTACTTTTGCATTTAAACTTTATACACTTATCAATCCTATTACAAATAATAGTCTTTATATATAACTCCACTTGTACCATATTTGATTATTTTTTTATCAAAAAGTTAACCATTTGCAATGCCATGAAGTCAAACAATAAATGTTTCGTGTTTGTTCATAATGGCAGCAAAGAAAAAAAAGGAATTGGATTTCTTCCAAATATAAAAAATAACAATAACCAATAACATTTCATAATCGTTAGTTCTATGTATGAGAAACTTTAATTTACAAATGTAAATAAAATATTTAATTGCCGATCCGCATCAGGAAATTTAATTAGGCGTAAATTTACGGAAATATTACATGACCTACGGAAATTTACGCCTAAAAATTTTTTAGGCGTAAATTTCCGTAGGTCACGCCTAATTAAATTTCCTGATGCCGTGGTACGAAATGTAAAAAAACCTAAATGAAGATTTCTTACTTAGTAAATTCCTTTGATTTCTTATCAAATCACTTGAAATTTTTATAGAGGTTAGGGCTAACCTTTCAACAATCTAAAATAATTTTTACAATGCGAAGAATTTCGCAGCCAATTCCTAAATGTTACCAATTAGTCAAAATTATACCAAATTCCCGTCCCGTCACAGTTTTTTACTTAACAAAAGTATTAGCTATAAATCTAAAAATCAATGTATAGATAATTCAATGCATATATTAATATATTCTCTAAGAAAAAGTGGTTCAAAAAATTACGAAATTCCTATAAATAAAGATTATCCTCTTAAAACCCTATGAAAAATGCTCAATTTCCGAAAATTCAATTTTTTAGTGTAACTATTGCGTCACTTCTAAAATATATATCTTAACTATTTATGAGTGGCGGATAGGCAATTAAGACTATTAAATATATGATATTAAGTAGAAATAAACAGATAGATAGATATCTACCGATTTATAAATTATATTTTTACGATAGCAGAAATGTTATATAAGCAAAGATCCTTTAGGATTCTTTAAAAGAATTTTTTCAAGTAATTTGATATGCCAGGAAAATAATTTCCCATTAATACAATAACCAGAATAAATGAAAAATTCCTTCATGTTATAAAGAACTCCGTCTGAACCATGAATATCATTGTATTTGATATTAAGAATAACTCGCGGGTATTGAGTTTTTTTAAAGGACAATTACTTGAAGAAAATGATTTATACCGCTATATAAAAATTTTTCATATTTTATAACCGACATAATACGAACATTTTAAAGTTCAAGTAATAATAAAGATCTGAAGAATTTAGATTTAATTATATTTACATTGCAATCTTTTTTTATTTTTCATTACATTTTGATTCATTTCAATTTTTTATATATTTATTATTCACCTAGAGAGTAACAAATATTTTACATGGTGCATAATAATGATAAATGAGAATTCAATTAGCACAGCAAAACATAAATTTTTACTAATATATTATTAAATAAGAAATTAATAAAATTTCTGCTATTATCTATTCCTATAATGTAAATGTAGTATATATAAGATCTTTTTTTATAATTAAAAAAGATTAGACTATGAAATCTAGATTCTACATAAGTAGATAGCTAAATAAAAAATCGCTTTCACTATTTATAGTTTCTAATGAAGTAACTATTCTGTAAACATAGGAATCAATAATAATAAAACAATTTTATTTTATTCTTTATGATTTAAAACTTTCTATTTTTGATTTTTCATTTTCAAGGATTACTGGAATATCCGAGAATTATTAGCATATCCAGTATTGTTCATATATCCAGAATTACCATGTCTAGGAGGATTATTGAAATCATTGGAATATCCAGAATTATATCCAGGATTATATATCCAGGATTATATCCAGGATTATTTTTATAAACATTATTATTATTAATATTCGTATCATTTCTGGTAACCATAGGATTTCGATGAACTCCATTATTTACCATATCTTGGTTGTCATTATTGTTATCATTTGTAAAATCTTTATCATCTGTTTGCCTGCTTTTTCGTATTCGACAGAAACATGACCTTACTTTTATTATCCCATATATAATAAAGAGCACAGCAACAAAACCAAAAATAATATCATGGATCTACTCGAGATAAGTCATCTGTATTAAGAGAAAATACAGGTTCTTTTATTGCTTCAGTATGACCAGTTTTACGTTTGTGTGAATAATAAATAACTAATTATGCAAAAATAAATTAATATTAATATTTAATTTTGTCTTGGAAATATAAGTAAAGTAAACTTGTTATTTACCGTCATTAAATGCAATATACATTTGTTTTATGTATATCGTTGCCGAATGACCATATAAGGGTGGATGAGATTTTCATCACTACTTGGGATAGACCATTCATAAGATGAAGATCCTATCTTTAATACTGCTACAGTAGGATTAGATTTATAATCCTAATTCAGATAAGACAATTGTCGCTCGTTAGAAATTATAATCAAAAAAAAAAAAAATTAGATAAAATTTCTTCAAAAAAATTTAGTATAATTTTATTCTTACTTAATGCAGCAGTGTGATCGACCATCTTCACCCTGCGCAGCAGTCTAAAAAATAAAGAATTAAAAGATTTATATGATTAGTTTCATGACTTTATAAATTTTATATATTTTTATACTTACAGCAGTAGACCATTCTGATGAATTGGTATCAGAAAAAGAAATAAAAAAAAATAATGATAAGCAATAATTTTTTTTTTTTTTAATTACATCTTTCATACTATAAGTACGATTATTGATCATTCCTCGGATAGAAGTAATAAAATAAGTCAAGATATTGAAAAAAATAAATATAATAATTCTAATGTGACAACAACTTTTCTAACCTTTTTCTATTCTGCGATTGTAATAATTCTAAATATAAAATGCAATAATTAATAACAATAAAAGTATCAATAATTTCATGGATCATTAACCACCCAAATAAAATTTCTCTATTCAAATCTTCAGTGTCCGTATGACGGATTCTTCTTCTAGAGAAATCATAAAATTATGATTTTTCTTTTAAACTATTAAGATTATCATGATAAAAAAAATTACTTACCATATCTTTGTATGATTTAGTCCAAATAGAATAAAGATATTTTTCAAAAGGAAAACAATAACCATTAGAAATCATTTCGATACAAAGTTTAATCAAAAAATTTAAGTCAAGTAAATAAATGAAAAAAAAAACCGTTGACTTAGATACAAATAAATAAGAAAATTGAGTGACATTTTTTTTTGTTTGTACTTGGACTAGCTTCATTTTCTAAATTTTAATATTATTAATATTTTTTTTTTAAAAAAAAAGATAAGAAATAGAGAATTATAATAAAAATTAATATATACCTGAATCCTCATCTCAATTCCTCTTGAAATCTTGATTTTATTCTTGTTCTTGTTCTTATTTGTGAACTGAAAGCGTGACTGAAGATTAGAAATATAATGGGACATCATTTATTTCTTGCTGTTGTTGTTGTTGATGCAGTTGTTCAATTGTTTCAATTCATGATAATGTTTTTAAAGTTGTTATGTTGTTGTCTCTGTTGTTCTTGTTGTTCTTGCTGTTTCTGTTGTTCTTGTTGTGGCTGTTGTTCTTGTTGGTGTTATTGTTGCTGTCACTGCTGTCTCATTAACAGCTCTTGGTTGCTAGGGTGACCACGGCTTACTTTCTTGGATAGTCCAGCATTCTTTTTTCATTATTATTTTTTTTATTTTTGTTATTTTGATGCCATCTTAATAACATGTTATGTAAATATTTTTTAATAAATGGTTTGATTAAGATAGTTTTTATTTAATTAATAGTTTAATTAGGATAAAAAATCAATTTTTTTTCTCTTGTTTAAAAAGGAAATTGATTAAAAAAGTTTTTTAAGGAAAAAGGGTATTTAATGACATATAGTTTATTTAATTAATATAAGAATATTCATTTTTAAGATCCATATGTTTTTTCTATATAAGAATGAACTATTCAAACTGAAACTTTTTAAAAACAAAATTCTTTAGTTATGCACAATACCAATTATTTTATTTATTGGTATTATATGAAAAAACTCTTCCCATTGATCACTTGTACCAAATATTCCCACAGTAGAGAAATACGATTTTTCACTGTAGTTACATATAAAACTTAGTTATTTT